CCTTTTGCAGCAATTACTGCCTCAATGCAGTGTGGCATGGAAGCTAAGCCTATGGCACTGCTGAGGTGTTATGGAAGACCAGGATGCTTCAATAGCGGCCTTCAGCTCTTCTGCATTATTCGGTCTCACATCTCTCATCTTTCTCTTGGCAATGCCCCATAGATTCTCTATGGGGTTCAGGTCAGGTGAGTTCTTTCCAATCAAGCACAGTAATCCCACAGTCATTAAGCCAGGTTTTGGTGTTTCTGGAAGTGCGGGCAGGTGCCAAGTCCTGCTGGAAAATGAAGTCAGCATCCCCATAAAGCTCATCTGCGGAAGGAAGCATGAAGTGCTCCAAAATCTCCTGGTAGACGGTTGCATTAACCCTGGTCTTAATGAAGCACAGTAGTCCAAAGTCCTCTTTTCTGATTAGAGCAACTTTTCCATCTCATTTGGAAACCAAGGGCCCAGAGTATGGAGGAAGAATGGAGAGACCAATCAAGCACAGTAATCCCAAGGTCATTGAACCAATTTTTGGTGCTTTTGGCAAAAGTTCCTCTCATCAGAAAAGAGGACTTTGGACCAAGGAGCAACAGGACTTTGGACCACTGTGCTTAAGACCAGGGCAATGCAGCTGTCTACCAGATTTTTGAGCACTTCATGCTTCCTTCTGCAGACGAGCTTTATGGGGATGCTGACTTCATTTTCCAGCTACCCACACTGCCAAAAGCACCAAAACCTGGGTCAATGACTGGGATTACTGTGCTTCCTTCAGGTGCCTTGGAGAATAGCTTGACTCCTTCTTCTTTGTGGCAGCCGCTGAGATATTGGACAGCTATCATGTCTCCCCTAATCCTCATTTTCACTAGACCTACCCGATTCCTGCAACCTTCATGTTTCAGCCTCCAGCCTCTAAATCATTTGTTGCTCTTGTCTGCACTTTGCAGTCTCAACATCTTTTATATTGTGGTGACCAAACTTGGATAGTTACTGAGTATGCTCTTACTAAGGCTTTATAAAGTAGTACTAATACTTCACATTGCCTTGATTCTATGCTTGTTTATACAACCCAGGATTGTATTAGTTTTTTTGGCTGCTGCCACACATGGCTGGCTCATGTTTAAGTCCAGTAGGACTCCAAGGCAGTGACTGTTTTTCAGCCAGGCCTTACCTAATCTGTACTTGTACCTTTGTTTTTTCTTGCCCAGGGGTAAAATCTTGCTTTTCTCCACATTAAAATTCATGTTGCTGGATAGGGCCCATTGTTCAAGTCTGTCAATATCTTTTTGAATCCTGAGCTTGTCTTCTAAAGTGTTGACTGTTCTTGCCAGTTAAGTGTCATCTACAAATCTGATGAGTTCCCCTTCTATTCCCTCATCTAATTCATTTATGAAGATATTGAAGAGTCCTGGGCCTAAGATGGAACCTTGTGGCACCCCACTGCTTACTTCCATGTAGATGTAGTACTATTAAGGATGACTTGTTGAGTGGGGCTTGTCAGCAAGTTACAAATCCATCTGGGGAGATGCTGTCTATCCCACATTTTTCTAGCTTACCAAGAAGTAGGTTGTGGTCTACTTTCTCAAATGCCTTGCTGAAGTCTAAGTATACTACATGCACAGCATTTCGCTGATCTACTAATTTAGTTACTTGTCAAAGAATGAAATAAGATGGGCTTAGCATGATCTGTTTTAACAAACCTGTGCTGGCTACTAGTTATAACTTTCTATTTATAGACTCATTATTAACTGCTACTGAAAAAGGCTACTCTCCCAAGTGATTTGGATGTTGACATCCTCCAGCACTCTTCAGGTGTATCTTTTGGCCCCAATTCTAAGTAAATTCACAATTTGAATTTATGGAATTCATGCCCACATTATGACACAACACCAGAGTGGAATGTAGGTTTTTTTTTAATTACTATTGCTTGAGACAAAATAACACTTTATACAAACAAGTCGGCTAGATTACTGCAGATCAAGGAGATATAAAAACGATAGCATGATAGAGATCCATACTATTAAGGAAATCACTTGGGCGGGGAAGGGGGGGACTTTTGGAACTTCTGCTATTCTCTATGGAAAAATACCTGACAAGAAAATTAGAACAACTAGGAACCGTCTCCTGTGCATTTCATACTTGCCACACCAAGATTCTGTGGGGAAGGAGAGTCCCCTTTATGGACAAACTCTCATGTTGTGCCAATGGCCGATTCAAAGCCACAAGATTGGGGTGGGATGTCTGTGTGTGTGTGTGTGTGTGTGTGTGTGGAGGTTGGCCCCAGTGCTCAATCTTTTCCCGCCCTTGGAAAATTCATTGCACTGTAGCTCTAAACACTCATAAGATCATTCAAGATTCCAGAATATCTGTAGTGTGGGAAATGTGGGAAACTGTGAGGCATGCTTTTGTGTGTGTGTGTGTTTGTGTGTGCTTGACCCCCACACAGCCATCATGGCCAAGCTGCTGCAGTACTCAGGTGGGGCATGCTCCAGGCAGGATGACTATCCGTGGACCCAAAAGTGGCCGAGGCCCCTGCCAATTGCTGAGAGCAGGGTTCCCCAGAGCCAGTTTTCACTTTCAAGGGGGGAGTCAAAAGGGGAGCCCCCATTTTGCTTTTCCAAAAAGGAGGAAACGGCAGCATTTTAATTTCATGCCTTTTCCAGCCACTAGGCAGTTCAGAAGCCACCCGCTTGCCCAGGTACCCAGTCCACAAGGGAGGCCTGATTTCTAATCACATCCTGCTTTGGAAGGGCAGCCCCAGTCCCTCCCCGCAAGCCCCCTTGGTCAACATGGCAGAAACAATCTTCCCATCCCACAAACTGACCCCTGCATGCCCAACGGGAGTGGCAGAAACGTCGTGGGCCCTGCAGAGCAGAACGGAATGACTCCAGGAGAAGCAGAGGGGGGCACAAAGGCAGCTCTCCTAGGGGTCCAGGGCCCCAGAGGGCACACAGGGGGGCATCTGGCAATTCCCTGTTGCCCAAGGAAGCACCCCATTTTTTTCACCCATATACCCTGTTTCCCTCCTATTGCTGGGAAGTCAGTGGCAAGGAAGGCACAAAGGAAAAGTTGCAGGGGGGGGGGTTTATTGCGAGCAGCCCCTGCTTAGGGGGGGGGGGGTGTCAGCCCTTCCGAGGCTTCCAGGCCAGAGGAGCTGCCTGGGGACCGTGCAGCAGAGGGCAGTTCCAAAGGCACCTGGATTTAACCATGAGGGATGGGGAAAAGAAAGCCCTTAGAGAAAGGCACTTTGCCAGAGAGGCCTGGGGAAGCGTCAACCCACCATTCTCACCACCAGCCCTTCCCACGACGACCACGAGAACCTCCCCCTTCCAAAAGAACGGAACTGAGTCCTGCACCTGAAACTCTTTTGTTAGGGTTAAACCTCCCCCCACCAAACTAAGAGATTTAAATGTTGGCTCTTTTTGGACTATTCCTTTGCCTCCTGGAGGCTCCCCCACTCTGGAGACTGAGTGCAATAGGGTGCTCCACATCCCTCCAGAGAGGCTCCAGCCCTTCTGCCAAAGCAGCATCTATAGCGGCTTGCCAGAGAGGCCAGCCAGAGGGTGGAGTCAATTCTCACCTGCAGCCTTTGCCTTTTTTCAGCCAGAAGCAAGCCAATATTGAGAAGTGGGGAGGGGAGAATGATTAGGACGGCCCCCATCTCCCCGGTGAGAGCTGTTAGGTAGGTGAAGCCAGGGAGTCACCTTCTGCTCCTCTGGCTGCAGGGCACACACACACACACACACCCCCATTATTCAGGCCAGACGTTTGGGGGTTGCTGTTGCTCGGATAGGCCCAGAATAAAGCATTGCAAAGTTCTGCCCTCCTCCAGGAGCCCCTCCAACCCCAAGACAGAGAAACAGCCCTGACAAACAGGAACGTCAGCTCAGGTGCAAAGCAGGCCTGGAGGCAACAGGAGCAACGGGCACCTGCCCAGTTCTCTGGGCTGTGGGATGCGTTAGGAAGGGGATTCTAGCCAAGCTTGGTCCATTGGAGGGGCCGTCGCTGGGGTTATCACCAGACCAGGATGCCAACAGAAGCCATGATGCAGCAAGGAATCAGCAGCCCAGAGAATTCCTTTACTATCCCAGAAGAGACCCTTCCCACTTGTCATGCTGCTTCTTGAGCCTTGCAGGAAGGAGGGGCAGGACCAGGCTGCCTCTGACCCACGCAATGTCCGTAGGCGAGGCTGGAATGGCTACTGCCCGCCATTGTAGGCGTAATCGGCCTTGTTGTGCATGATCAGCTTGTTGTCCACAAAGTAGAAGCTGTCTGAGCGAGTCTCGTAGGGGTTCTCGACCATCAAGCGTACTGCAGGGGCAAAAGAGATGGAGGAGCATCAGCCATAGCCCAGAAACAGCCTGCAGAGAAGGCCCCTGGCGCTGACCCTGCAGTGCAAGCAGAGACCACTCCACAAAGCAGCCTGGAAAACTGCAGGGAGCAGGAAGCAGTGAGAGAATCTGTGGGTTTCAGAGAAATTAAGACCCTTTAAAACATTGACAGTGGCGGGACTTCCGGTTGTACTTCTGGCCCCTTCGGAAGCGAGGACCGTAACCTCCGTAGCTCTGTTCTGAGCTCTCTACGTCGGACTCAAAGTGAGCCACAGCCACCCTGGGGAGGTGGTGAAGTAAAGGGAGGCCACTGTGTGGGTCAAGGAGAGCCGCATCTCTCCTCCCTGATTCGGAAAGCTCCTTGATCTGAAGAGCAGCGGCAGTAAAAAATGGCCGCCGGGGACAGCCCGAATACCTAAGACTGTGGTGGTGCAGAGAATGTGAATGGTGTGTGAACTGGGTGAGAGAATACTTTTTGTTGGAATTTGACCCCAAGAAATATTTAGAACTATTTGTTTAAGCGGTGAACAGGCACCGGGAAAAATACCGGAGAAGAAGAAAAAAATTACTTTAAAAAAATAAATAGAAATTTGTTTTCTCAAAGCTAAAAGACGTGGGATTGAGAGCACTTTAAAAAGCTGGAATTAAAGTCCCAAATTTCTTTTTACTAATATTGCTTAATTATTGGATTTACAACTTAAAATAATTGAAATTGGAATTGTAAACAATATTACAGAGAGGCTGAAGCAGACTGAAGCGAGAGCGCCATCTGCTGATGGAAAGGGAACCATGCAAACTTGGAAATAACCATTGAAAAAGATTGAAAATATTTGCTGGACATGGATCTACTCTAAGACCATTAGAGATTTGATTATTAATTAAGGACTTCAGTTAAGAGTCCCCTGAATATTACCGAACATATAAAGAAGCGTGGATAACTCCCTGGTGAATTTAAATTGACTGGACTGATTACTGATGAAATTTAAAATTGTGACTTGGAAGTTCTGTTTTGAATTAAAAAATTCTGGACAGCTGGCCAAAAAGGAATACTACTAAATACAGATGCAATGCAAGACGGAAGCGAGGGAAAGCCAAATGGAATGGGCTTTTTCAAAGCATTAAGGAAATATTTGACGACATTGACCAAAAACTGGAAAATATAATTCAAGGGATGATGGGCAAACATCAGGACAATGAAAAAAGAATGGAGCCATCAGAAGTAATGGAGGGGAAAGCAGAACTGAGAAAGCAGTAAGAAGAAGGTAACAAGGAGGAGATGTTACTAAAACTAATAATGACTAAGGAACTAAAAAAAAAAGAGGAAAATACAATAAGACTTAAAAAGGGACTGGGAGAAACAGGAAGAAAAACTGGGCCATGGAATAGACAGTTCTGAAATTAGACAATGGGAAGGGGTAGAGATGGGAGAAAAAGCTAGATTCCATAGTCAAATAGGTAGGATAAAAGATTTAAGGGACGAATATGGGAGGAAAGCCAAAAAGAAAATAAGATCAAGGTTCAGATACAGGCAAGACATGATGGATAAGGGGAAAAGAAAAAAAGAGTAAAATATTTTTTTATGAATGTATACTAACATTAGAATTATAAAGGTTGGACAATTATTCAACAACTAATGTTATAGATATCAGGATAATATAAATAAGTTATGAAAAACTGAAAAATTAGATTTTGAATGACGGTATTATTAAATATGCATAATAATCTGATTAGCAATGAAATGTTAGAATCACAATGGGTGATTTTATACACACACACACGAACACATGAAACAGACATGTCCGGAACGTTAAAATATATTTCTCACTTACCTTTCGTTAGCCACTGCTAACATTGTCAGAGTGTAAAAGTCATTAGATACCTGCCTTTATACAATGTTAATCAATTTGGCCATTGAGTGTGTGATAGGCCCATCCACCTGCCTCCCACCTGTGATTAGCTTTGTTGTTTTTTTTACATCAGGCATTTTAATCGATGCCCCTATTCCTTTCTCCTTTGTTGAACATAGCTTGGGTTGCTCATCCCCAGGAAACAACGCTGAGCTGTCTGATGTTGCCTTAACAGTATTCTCTCTGGTTTCCTTCCACACCTCTTCCCTCTTCTTCTGTCTCGCAGGCACATCTGATATATTAATCAGCTTCATTTGTTGTTTTGATCTTTCTTGGTGCCTCAATGCTTGGTAAGCATTGATGAGGTTGTTATCGGAAAACCAGGCTTCTTTTAGCAGGCATCCCCCTTTTGTTCTATCATGGGCAACAACTTCTGCCTCTTGAAAATTGAATATGTGATTGTGTTCTTTCATGTGTCCAGATCTGAGGGTGCTGTTCTGTGTGCCGAACAGCCAGTTCACGTTCATGCATTCTACTCTGCAGCCGCTTAGCTGTTTCCCCTACATAGTTACTTGTACAGTTGCTGCAGTTAATATGGTAAACCACCGAGGATGCCTCCTCTTTAGATAATGCTTCTTTTGGGCACATCACTCTCATTCTCAGTGTTTGGTCCGGTTTATGTGCCTTGACCCACTGCATTGAAAGGATGGGTGCAGTAGTTTCGGATATATGGGAGCACCCTCCAGGTGGATGTTCCACTTTTATCCTCAATGGGCTGTCGGGCCCTGGGTGTGATACACCGTCAGATAAAGTCTGTGGAATGGAGTGTTATGCATCTGTGGCGCATAAACTGGATCAAAACACTTTCTATTATTCTACTATGCCGTTTCTATTGTGGGAAAATGGGAGGGGGGATGGTACGGAGTTAGATGCTATGTAGTCAAAACAAAATTCCTTCTAGAAAGCCAAGGTCATCCTTTGTCTCTGCACCTAAGTGGAACTGGATGGGTGGAAACTGCCAGCATGACAGTGGAAGATTGAACCATGTGATGGACCTGTGGGTGGGGGGCAAGATCATGAACTTTTAACTGGGTGGGGAAAACCAGATAGTTTTCAGATTCGGGTTTTCCCAGATGTGCCAACATGGCTCTCTTGATAAATTGGAACTTTGAGGAATCCTTTGCCTTGGACTCTAATTTAATTTTGGATGCTATTTGGAACCCTGACAGTAGAATTATATGAATTGAAGGATTGGAAAGAATAGATGTACTTTAAATGTATAATTGACTGTGATTAATACTAAAACTGTATATTGAGATATTGAATAACGAAAGAATGAAGTTTGAAAGTTTGAAGTAACTAGAGAAATATGAACAATATAAAAGGGGGACTTCCGGTGGCACCGTAAGGCTCTGACGACGTCCCTCTGGGACATTCCAGCCCCGAGATCGCATTACACTGCCAGGACAGCGTAAATCAGTTGTCTGGCAGTTTGAAAACTCTTTTCTTGGGAGAAGAGGAAGAGGAGAGCTGCCGAGCGAGGGTAGAGCTCCCTTAAACCCCAGGAGTAATTTCTGGGGCTTGGAAGGTGTGAGCCCCCCTGTAGCTCGAAACACTCCGCTCTCGGCACGCGTCTGCTATAGCAGATCAAAGAGCCACGACCATCCCTGCAATCAATGTTTTGATCTATATTTGAATAAGAAGCAGAGCACATACAGATTATAAAATTTTTGCTAAAATATTAGCAAATAGGTTGATGTTAGCTATGCAACAAATGATTCACAACGATCAATCTGGTTTCATACAAGGGAGACAAATGAAAAGTAATGTAAGACAAATTGTTAATATATTGGAGTATTTGGGGAAGAATAACCAAGTCCCTGCAGCGCTTATATTCTTGGACGTCGAGAAAGCATTTGATCAAGTGAATTGGCAATTTTTAATGAAAATAATACAAAAGATGCATTTTGAAGAGTATTTTACACAATCTATCAAGGCAATATACTAGAAACAAACAGCACAAATTATAGTTAATGGTAGTTTAACAGAATCTTTTAAAATTGAAA